CCATGTGGTATCCGCAAAACATTTCAGATTCCAGTATTGCGAGATTGATTCGGGAAAACTAGGTAAGATATAATAATTTGTTTTCATAATGTTCGTTAATAACTGACACTTTAATTACGCTCGCTCGCGAATATTTAATCATCATCCTTTCTTTTCCGAACGTCCAGTCTCAGGCTTAGCAAGAAAAAGAAACAGATCGTTTATTGAACTTCATGCATCCAGATCGTATCCACTCCGCCGTAGAAATACCGGTCGCAGAGTTCGTACGTACTACACCAAATATCAAGAAGATTCATTGGAGTCGATGTTCGCCATGAACTGTTATCCTGATTTAATTGCAAGGGAATGCATAGCTTACTCCATCGATCTTCCCGAAGACCGAGTTCAGGTAATATAAATTGTCATATTATGGATAGTTTGGCTATATTTTGAGTCATAAATTATGCATGTATTACAGCACGCAAAGCACACCAACTATCGTATAATTTTGTTTTGCGTACACTAACAAGTTTTTTTAATATTTATTCCATTTTTTATATTTCTTTCTTTTCAGAATTGGTTTCGTAACCGACGAGTCAAACGTATACTAAAAACATGCAAGTTAACCACGTCCATGGAACAAAGTCGTGATGATAACCATTCTCCTCACAAATCAATAACACAGCGATACACAGATGTCGATTACGTCATTCACCAACCGCCAGATCAAGATTCACCTGATTATGACAGAGATTTGCCATCATTACCATCAGACGTAGAGACACGCCATTTTCCTCATGTGAATCTTCGTTCCTGTATTTCACCATCCGTTGATTTTGACATTTATAATTCACCATTTGCGTATCCTGTCTACCCGCCGTCTCCAAGCGTGTCATACCCAATGTCATCTTTGCTCGAAAGTTCTCCGACTGATGGCTCGGATACCAGTCTTTGAAAAGATAACCAATTTCCAGTAACCGACAACTATATTTAATATTAGCACGTTCTTGTAATTATAGAATAAACATATGACTTGCCGATATTTCTGAATATATTTGTGTACGTGTCATTTATCGTGTTTCTTTTTACTCGAACATAATAGCGCAAACTGGCGATAACAATTTGAAAAGTCGGAATAAAAGTTGCCCACTTAGCACTATAGTGATGCGATACCACGTATATCTCCGGTACGAGGAAACAAAAACGATTGAAATTCCTGTCGTGGCGATCCGATAAGATTCACGCCATTATTGTGACATAACTAGCGCAATTAACATATGTCGGTCACAAAAGGGGTATATAAACCTGCGGCGAGTTCAATGAAACAAAAGCGTTTTATTAAGTATTAACTACGTTATAAGTAGTGTGTATGTCATTAACGCGCGGCCTGGTTGATCTTTAATGTCGGCAGGTTTTGCGTTACCCCTTTACTCGATTACGTCATTTTCCAATGGCCTTATCCTTTGTTGGACAGTGCATATGGTATATGTATGTGCGCGTTATGGCGGATGATTGTGTACGATAACACTTCTGACTTAGGAATTTGAAAACATATCTTGAAATATGTAAATAATTAATTCGTCATCACAAACACATATACTTTACGTTAAAACTTAATTTATTGCATCATATAAAACATTATAAATACATACTGGAGTCTTTGAAGAATATTTTACTGATACATTTTACTTGCATATTTCGACAGTGTAGCAAAGATGCGGTTGACTGGCCAGAGCCGCACTGCCGTAAAACGGCGGCAGATATCTGTTGTAGTTGAACATTCGATATGCCTCAACAACTGGCGGTTTCGGGAAATTAATGTTGGATTTAAAAGGTGAATCACCTATCGCCGACGAACGTGATGAAGAACTGGTTGGTGGCTTAATATCTGTGATACAACTCGGCGAGATAACTGTTGTTGTTGGCGGTAAACGAGTAGCTGACGGTGATGATTTATTGCTCTCTTTCGAAGAGGTTTTCTTGCTGTTCTTGGTCAACATGACATGGGTTACACCCTTTGCAGCAGTTGGTCTATTGTTCTTTTCCTTTCTAAGTCGCGCTCTTCTGTTTTGAAACCACACCTGTAAAACAATAATAATATCAATAACACGAAAGTAGTAAATTAGGAACCTGTTCATACACAAATATGTTAGAATATTTAAAGAGTATCATTCATATTCATATACAAAGTTTCCTAAACTGTACGTTGCATGGTGAAGTCAAGTATATAACCAAACACATTACATATTAACTAAACTTCAAGCTGTCAAGAATTCGGATGAAATTCCACATATTTGAAATTATTAAATCCATTTATATAAATATATTTCTACCTGTACTCTAGCTTCTTGTATGCCGATGATGTCAGCCAATGCTTCTCTTTCATTTATATCGGGATACTTATTCACAGCAAACACGCATTCCAAGGCTTCGACTTGAGATTCTGTATATGAGGTGCGTCCTCTACGACGCATTTTTCGAGGTTGTATACATGCGCCAATGCGTGCATCAGTGTATGAGATAACATTCGTACATTCTGGCGTGACGTCTGAAGTTGCTGTACGACCTGGAGGACAACGAATGATCATGAGATAAACATAATATAAACTCAAGCAAATAAATCATATTACACGGACATCTTATTCACAGGGTCCATCTACAACGTAAGATGTTGGAATCGATGACATGATGGTAATAATATATAAAATATATTGAGTTGTACGGGATGGAAAGGGTGGAGCTTGATGTAGCCTCTCTGATACAGGATGGTCAACTGTGCAAAGTGACTCAAATGTTGCCAGACTTATACTCTTAGGTTATTTGTTAAACCGACTGTCTGCTTTGATCATATGTGCCGAATTATCGTGATTGGCTGACAGGTTGATTTAGTCCGAATATTATAACTTAATTGATGCAATTAACATGTTTCGATTACGAGAATAGCCTTGGCTAACTCTGCGGCTAGCTCAAATAGATAAAAACATTTCTCACACTCAAATATGGAGTGCAGTTAACACTACATAATGTGAATACGTCGTTACAAGTTAACGTTAATTTTAGTAATTATTCTCGATGGTTGTTTTCTATGCTGAATTCAGAGAATGCGAAGCGGCGATAAGAGAGTGTTGGCGTAATTTGGTGACTACTTACGCGAGTGAAGCGTCACCAAGTTTAAAACCCGTATTAGAGCTTGCATTATATTTAGACATTATTTTCAGTATGCTATACTAGTCGTTTTTTTCCCGACCACACGTTTCCCCTATCAATTACAATATATTTTAATTCAGTTAGTCACGTTTTTCATCGACAGAAAATAATATCATGAATATTTCTCATTCATCCACATGAACTTAAAATGTAAACAAATGCATGCTATAATTCACATGTTTCAAGTTCTAGAATAAGCGTGGTAACACCGAATGTATATTTTGGTGAAATAATGACGGTTTTCGTAGTTCACGGTTACGTACCAATTAAAATGCAGGTCGACCAACAACATCGAGGAAAGCGCCACCAAGTGGAGAAATATTTTTTAATTTTATTTAAGCGCCACCTTCGGCCAACGTGCTCGATGTTTCAATACCCAAAATCTATTTAATTATGCTCAACAGGCATGTGTTGCAACTATTGGCCATTTGATCTGTATTGGTCAGAGATCAAGTCGTTGCGTTAACATTAGTGTGAACTGGGTATTATGCTAATCAATACGATTTTGTCGGACGGTGCCATTCAACTAACCGCACCAATCACTAACCACCTTTAGTATAACGCATTACGTATAAATTCCAGATATTTGGCGACTGTAGACAACTGCTCGAGTAACTATTGGGATATCGTTCTCGCCATCCAAGTTCAGAAAAAACGTAATTATGAAGCCAGAAGTGAACATGACTCCATGTGGTATCCGCAAAACATTTTCAGATTCCAGTATTGTCGAGATTGATTCGGGAAAACTAGGTAAGATATAATAATTTGTTTTCATAATGTTCGTTAATAACTGACACTTTAATTACGCTCGCTCGCATAATATTTAATCATCATCCTTTCTTTTCCGAACGTCCAGTCTCAGGCTTAGCAAGAAAAAGAAACAGATCGTTTATTGAACTTCATGCATCCAGATCGTATCCACTCCGCCGTAGAAATACCGGTCGCAGAGTTCGTACGTACTACACCAAATATCAAGAAGATTCATTGGAGTCGATGTTCGCCATGAACTGTTATCCTGATTTAATTGCAAGGGAATGCATAGCTTACTCCATCGATCTTCCCGAAGACCGAGTTCAGGTAATATAAATTGTCATATTATGGATAGTTTGGCTATATTTTGCGTCATAAATTATGCATGTATTACAGCACGCAAAGCACACCAACTATCGTATAATTTTGTTTTGCGTATACTAACAAGTTATTTTTAAATATTTATTCAATTTTTTATATTTCTTTCTTTTCAGAATTGGTTTCGTAACCGACGAGTCAAACGTATACTAAAAACATGCAAGTTAACCACGTCCATGGAACAAAGTCGTGATGATAACCATTCTCCTCATAAATCAATAACACAGCGATACAAAGATGTCGATTACGTCATTCACCAACCGCCAGATCAAGATTCACCTGATTATGACAGTGATTTGCCATCATTACCATCAGACGTAGAGACACGCCATTTTCCTCATGTGAATCTTCGTTCCTGTATTTCACCATCCGTTGATTTTGACATTTATAATTCATTATTTGCGTATCCTGTCTACCCGCCGTCTCCAAGCGTGTCATACCCAATGTCATCTTTGCTCGAAAGTTCTCCGACTGATGGCTCGGATACCAGTCTTTGAAAAGATAACCAATTTCCAGTAACCGACAACTATATTTAATATTAGCACGTTCTTGTAATTATAGAATAAACATATGACTTGCCGATATTTCTGAATATATTTGTGTACGTGTCATTTATCGTGTTTCTTTTTACTCGAACATAATAGCGCAAACTGGCGTTAACAATTTGAAAAGTCGGAATAAAAGTTGCCCACTTAGCACTATAGTGATGCGATACCATGTATATCTCCGGCATGAGGAAACAAAAACGATTCAAATTCCTGTCGTGGCGATCCGATAAGATTCACGCCATTATTGTGACATAACTAGCGCAATTAACATATGTCGGTCACAAAAGGGGTATATAAACCTGCGGCGAGTTCAATGAAACAAAAGCGTTTTATTAAGTATTAACTACGTTATAAGTAGTGTGTATGTCATTAACGCGCGGCCTGGTTGATCTTTAAATGTCGGCAGGTTTTGCGTTACCCCTTTACTCGATTACGTCATTTTCCAATGGCCTTATCCTTTGTTGGACAGTGCATATGGTATAAGTATATGCGCGTTATGGCGGATGATTGTGTACGATAACACTTCTGACTTAGGAATTTGAAAACATATCTTGAAATATGTAAATAATTAATTCGTCATCACAAACACATATACTTTACGTTAAAACTTAATTTATTGCATCATATAAAACATTATACATGTAAATACATACTGGAGTCTTTGAAGAATATTTTACTGATACATTTTACTTGCATATTTCGACAGTATAGCAAAGATGCGGTTGACTGGCCAGAGCCGCACTGCCGTAAAACGGCGGCAGATATCTGTTGTAGTTGAACATTCGATATGCCTCAACAACTGGCGGTTTCGGGAAATTAATGTTGGATTTAAAAGGTGAATCACCTATCGCCGACGAACGTGATGAAGAACTGGTTGGTGGCTTAATATCTGTGATACAACTCGGCGAGATAACTGTTGTTGTTGGCGGTAAACGAGTAGCTGACGGTGATGATTTATTGCTCTCTTTCGACGAGGTTTTCTTGCTGTTCTTGGTCAACATGACATGGGTTACACCCTTTGCAGCAGTTGGTCTATTGTTCTTTTCCTTTCTAAGTCGCGCTCTTCTGTTTTGAAACCACACCTGTAAAACAATAATAATATCAATAACACGAAAGTAGTAAATTAGGAACCTGTTCATGCACAAATATGTTAGAATATTTAAAGAGTATCATTCATATTCATATACAAAGTTTCCTAAACTGTACGTTGGATGGTGAAGTCAAGTATATAACCAAACACATTACATATTAACTAAACTTCAAGCTGTCAAAAATTCGGATGAAATTCCACATATTGGACATTATTAAATCCATTTATATAAATATATTCCTACCTGTACTCTAGCTTCTTGTATGCCGATGATGTCAGCCAATGCTTCTCTTTCATTTATATCGGGATACTTATTCACAGCAAACACGCATTCCAAGGCTTCGACTTGAGATTCTGTATATGAGGTGCGTCCTCTACGACGCATTTTTCGAGGTTGTATGCATGCGCCAATGCGTGCATCAGTGTATGAGATAACATTCGTACATCCTGGCGTGACGTCAGAAGTTGCTCTACGACCTGGAGGACAACGAATGATCATAAGATAAACATAATATAAACTCAAGCAAATAAATCATATTATACGGACATCTTATTCACAGGGTCTCGCACTCACTTTAAGAGTATAATTATCTACACACACTGGCTGTATATAAATCCAATAACGTACCTGGTGTCTTTGACAATATGCATGCAATGGTATGGTTGGTAAACCTATTTTCGCCATCTACAACGTAAGATGTTGGAATCGATGACATGATGGTAATAATATATAAAATATATTGAGTTGTACGGGATGGATAGGGTGGAGCTTGATGTAGCCTCTCTGATACAGGATGGTCAACTGTGCAAAGTGATTCAAATGTTGCCAGACTTATACTCTTAGGTTATTTGTTAAACCGACTGTCTGCTTTGATCATGTGTGCCGAATTATCGTGATTGGCTGACAGGTTGATTTAGTCCGAATATTATAACTTAATTGATGCAATTAACATGTTTCGATTACGAGAATAGCCTTGGCTAACTCTGCGGCTAGCTCAAATAGATAAAAACATTTCTCACACTCAAATATGGAGTGCAGTTAACACTACATAATGTGAATACGTCGTTACAAGTTAACGTTAATTTTAGTAATTATTCTCGATGGTTGTTTTCTATGCTGAATTCAGAGAATGCGAAGCGGCGATAAGAGATCAATGAATACAGGGAGTGCATGGGTGTTCGAGAAAATCATCCTCATGTTTAATTCTAAACTTAGAGCAGTCCAACTAGAGTGCCTGGAAAATCAGTATGCTATCATGTAACCCGAGTTCCGACACTCGTAACTCCCATAACAAAACAATATATATATATTCAGTTTGTCCCTAAATTTAAGGTCCGAATATGAATTCTCGGTCATTCATCAGTCATACACCAGAATATAAACAGGCACCCAAGGCATGTTCATAAGTGCCGTATATCGAGGGCTAGATTTAGCGAGCAAACAGTAAATGTAAATCACGGTGAAATAATTCCAATATTACATGGTTCAGGCATTGTAGCAAAAAAAATGCAGGTCGACCAACAACATCGAGGAAAGCGCCACCAAGTGGAGAAATCTTTTTTAATTTTATTTAAGCGCCACCTTCGGCCAACGTGCTCGATGTTTCAATACCCAAAATCTATTTAATTATGCTCAACAGGCATGTGTTGCAACTATTGGCCATTTGATCTGTATTGGTCAGAGATCAAGTCGTTGCGTTAACATTAGTGTGAACTGGGTATTATGCTAATCAATACGATTTTGTCGGACGGTGCCATTCAACTAACCGCACCAATCACTAACCACCTTTAGTATAACGCATTACGTATAAATTCCAGATATTTGGCGACTGTAGACAACTGCTCGAGTAACTATTGGGATATCGTTCTCGCCATCCAAGTTCAGAAAAAACGTAATTATGAAGCCAGAAGTGAACATGACTCCATGTGGTATCCGCAAAACATTTTCAGATTCCAGTATTGTCGAGATTGATTCGGGAAAACTAGGTAAGATATAATAATTTGTTTTCATAATGTTCGTTAATAACTGACACTTTAATTACGCTCGCTCGCATAATATTTAATCATCATCCTTTTTTTTCCGAACGTCCAGTCTCAGGCTTAGCAAGAAAAAGAAACAGATCGTTTATTGAACTTCATGCATCCAGATCGTATCCACTCCGCCGTAGAAATACCGGTCGCAGAGTTCGTACGTACTACACCAAATATCAAGAAGATTCATTGGAGTCGATGTTCGCCATGAACTGTTATCCTGATGTAATTGCAAGGGAATGCATAGCTTACTCCATCGATCTTCCCGAAGACCGAGTTCAGGTAATATAAATTGTCATATTATGGATAGTTTGGCTATATTTTGAGTCATAAATTGTATTACAGCACGCAAAGCACACCAACTATCGTATAATTTTGTTTTGCGTACACTAACAAGTTTTTTTAAAATATTTATTCCATTTTTTATATTTCTTTCTTTTCAGAATTGGTTTCGTAACCGACGAGTCAAACGTATACTAAAAACATGCAAGTTAACCACGTCCATGGAACAAAGTCGTGATGATAACCATTCTCCTCACAAATCAATAACACAGCGATACACAGATGTCGATTACGTCATTCACCAACCGCCAGATCAAGATTCACCTGATTATGACTGTGATTTGCCATCATTACCATCAGACGTAGAGACACGCCATTTTCCTCATGTGAATCGTCGTTCCTGTATTTCACCATCCGTTGATTTTCACATTTATAATTCACCATTTGCGTATCCTGTCTACCCGCCGTCTCCAAGCGTGTCATACCCAATGTCATCTTTGCTCGAAAGTTCTCCGACTGATGGCTCGGATACCAGTCTTTGAAAAGATAACCAATTTCCAGAAACCGACAACTATATTTAATATTAGCACGTACTTGTAATTATAGAATAAACATATGACTTGCCGATATTTCTGAATATATTTGTGTACGTGTCATTTATCGTGTTTATTTTTACTCGAACATAATTGCTCAAACTGGCGATAACAATTTGAAAAGTCAGAATAAAAGTTGCCCACTTAACACTATAGTGATGCGATACCATATATATCTCCGGTACGAGGAAACAAAAACGATTCGGCAGGTTTTGCGTTACCCCTTTACTCGATTACGTCATTTTCTAATGGCCTTATCCTTTGTTGAACAGTGCATATGGTATATGTATATGCGCGTTATGGCGGATGATTGTGTACGATAACACTTCTGACTTAGGAATTTGAAAACATATCTTGAAATATGTAAATAATTAATTCGTCATCACAAACACATATACTTTACGTTGAAACTTAATTTATTGCATCATATAAAACATTATAAATACATACTGGAGTCTTTGAAGAATATTTTACTGATACATTTTACTTGCATATTTCGACAGTATAGCAAAGATGCGGTTGACTGGCCAGAGCCGCACTGCCCTAAAACGGCGGCAGATATCTGTTGCAGTTGAACATTCGATATGCCTCAACAACTGGCGGTTTCGGGAAATTAATGTTGGATTTAAAAGGTGAATCACCTATCGCCGACGAACGTGATGAAGAACTGGTTGGTGGCTTAATATCTGTGATACAACTCGGCGAGATAACTGTTGTTGTTGGCGGTAAACGAGTAGCTGACGGTGATGATTTATTGCTCTCTTTCGACGAGGTTTTCTTGCTGTTCTTGGTCAACATGACATGGGTTACACCCTTTGCAGCAGTTGGTCTATTGTTCTTTTCCTTTCTAAGTCGCGCTCTTCTGTTTTGAAACCACACCTGTAAAACAATAATAATATCAATAACACGAAAGTAGTAAATTAGGAACCTGTTCATGCACAAATATGTTAGAATATTTAAAGAGTATCATTCATATTCATATACAAAGTTTCCTAAACTGTACGTTGGATGGTGAAGTCAAGTATATAACCAAACACATTACATATTAACTAAACTTCAAGCTGTCAAAAATGCTGATGAAATTCCACATATTTGAAATTATTAAATCCATTTATATAAATATATTCCTACCTGTACTCTAGCTTCTTGTATGCCGATGATGTCAGCCAATGCTTCTCTTTCATTTATATCGGGATACTTATTCACAGCAAACACGCATTCCAAGGCTTCGACTTGAGATTCTGTATATGAGGTGCGTCCTCTATGACGCATTTTTCGAGGTTGTATGCATGCGCCAATGCGTGCATCAGTGTATGAGATAACATTCGTACATCCTGCGTGACGTCAGAA